GCAGAAATCTGCCTTTGTCCTGCAGGTTTCCTTGTGGTCTGGCTGTAGGGCATATGCTGGTCCGCATATTGCAGTCTCTGAATATGGCCCGATCTAACATTAGGAGAGGATCCCTTAAGTTAGGAGAGGATTCAGAAGAAGGGAGAAGAAAGAGAGTGAAAGACAGAAATGAGAGGATTTACAAAGAGGAACTGCAGAACCATTTTCTTTGAGATGCTGAGAGATACGTAAACTGTTTACTTATATTTGCCTGCTGGACTTTATTACTTCAAATACAACAGTGCACAGAGACAAGGCCACTGTGAGCCCTTGGATATTTTTAGGTTACATTTATTTACTCATTCATTCAAAAATATTTACTGTAATGTTCTAGCTCTTATGCTAAGCAATGGGGATGCAAGATTTATAAAGAAAGTATCTGGCCTCAAGCTGCTTGAATTTTAGGAGAGGGGTAGATATGTAAATATTGCTAAAGGCCATGATATTACATGAGCACCAAGGAGTTACCAGTCTGGGAGTCATAAATAGGAAGAATATAGTAACAGGATAGCTTTAGATCCTTCTCCCTCTGCAAATGAAGGGTTGCTTACCTTCAAGTTGAGATGTCTGGACAAGCACTTTAGAACTTGTGCCATGCTGATTGTGGCCCGTTCCCGCTCATGGTCTTTGACTGACTGTACCCATGGATCTATGTGCTATAAAAAATAAAGAGAGTCTAGATGGTTTATCAGGAAGAGCTGAGATAACACTCTTATTCTGTGTGGAAGAAAATGGGGAGAGCGAAGTTCCACCTGTCACTACCATGTCTGAAAATATTTTCCTAAGTGATAACCAGTTTTGGTTGGAAATTAAAGTGGTGGGATGACAAGGCACAAAGACCCAGAGGATCAAATGGTCTGCATTCTACTTATTTTCGAGATTTATTTTCCCTTCATCCCACTTTCTTCTATTATTTATTCTATTCTTCTGTATGTTTTCAACTTTCTAGAAAGTTGGAAAGAAAGAAAATTAATGATGTGCTATTAAAGAACTCTGAGGATGGGGAAATTGCATCTGTCTGCAACAGTCATGGGAGGATTCAAGGAGAAGATAATCATATCCATGACTAGGAGTTTCACAAAGAAGATGACATTTCAGGTAGAAAAAAAAGGCTTATATTAAGCTGCCAATGCAGGCAAGGAGAAGGCACAACTGGATAAAAAAGAGAAACCCAATCTGGCTGGAGTGTTGAGGTACAAATAGAAGAGGAATGAGAAATAATGTTAAGGTTGGTTGTGGCAAAGATAAATGTCCATCTGCACTTAGATACAAATGATTAATAATAGTTTAAAGGACTACCGCTTTCTGGGATATCTGCATCTTGAAAAGGGGCAATGGAGCAAGATGCTTGAATTTTAGTGAATGCACTCCAATGAATAAATCCCTAATGATGGAATGGCATCTGCTAGAACCTGACAGATAGGGGCAGGTGGGTATTAACAACCTTTAAATCTTGCCTGGCTGACTCTGTTCTCTGGTCACCGAAACTCTTCTGTGGTAGTAAGCAGTAATAATTTAAGGCATTAATTACAGCAACCATTTAAAGCATTTATTGAAAGAAGCTGTGGTACATATATACAATGGAATATTACTCAGCCATATGAAGAGATGAAATACTGCCATTTACGACAACATGGGTGGAACTTGAGATAACCGTGCTAAGTGAAATAAGCCAGACAGAGTTTACGGCGATGCCACCCTGAACAAGCCTGATCCTGTCTGATCTTGGAAGCTAAGCAGGGTCGGGCCTGGTTAGTACTTGGATGGGAGACCACCTAGGAAGATCAGG